GAACTGCCATAGGCTACCTCTGTGCAGGGTTTCCAGGCCATCTCCATGAGTGGTCCTTGGCTGGAGTATCAGTCTCAGAAAAGACCCCTATGCCCAGACTTTTTGGATCTGTTGCTGTCCTTGTGGAACTCCTGTCCTATGGGTCTTCCTATTTCCCACTTCTTTCATAAGATTCCCTGCACTCTGCCCAAAGTTTGGCTATGAGTCTCAGCATCTACCTCGATACCCTTCAGGGCAGAGCATTTCAGAGGCCCTCTGTGGTAGGCTCCTGTCCTGTTCCCTGTTTTCTCCCTCCTCTGATATCCATCCTCTTTGCTTTTCTAAATGGGGATTGAGCATCTCAGCCAGAGTCCTCCTTCCTGATTAGCTTCCTTAGGTGTAGAGATTTTAGCATGTTTATCCTATATTATATATCTAATATCCACTTATGAGTGAGTATATACCCTTTGTGTCTTTTTGCTTCTTGGATACCTCACTCAGGATGATCTTTTCCATTTCCCACCATTTACCTGCAAAGTTCATGATTTCCTTGTCTTTTTTTTTTTTTTTATCGCTGAGTAATATTCCATTGTGTTGATGTAACACAATTTCTGTATCTATTCTTTAAGTGAGGGGCATCTGAGCTGTTTACAGCTTCTGGCTATTACAAATAAAGCTGCTACAAACATGGTTGAACAGATGTCCTTGTTGAATACTTGAGCGTCTTTTGGATATATGCCTAGGAGTGGTATAGCTGGATCTGAGGAAGCACTATTCCTAATTGTTGGGAAAAGCGCCAGATTGATTTCCAAAGTGGTTGTACAAGTTTACATTTCCACCAGCAGTGGAGAAGGGTTCTCCTTTCTCCACAACCTCTCCAGCATGTGTTGTCACTTGAGTTATTTATCTTAGCCATTCTAATGGGTGTAAGGTGAAATCTCAGGGTCGTTTTGATTTGCATTTCCCTAATGACTAAGGATGTTGAACATTTCTTTAAGTGTTTCTCTGCCATTTGATATTCCTCCATTGAGAATTCTCTTTATCTCTGTACCCCATTTAATTGGATTAGTTGATTGGTTGCTGTTTAACTTCTTAAGTTCTTTATATATACTAGATATTAGTATCTCCATCCCTGATCTCAAGATGTACTATAGAGCAACAGTAATAAAAATTGCATGGCACTGGCATAGAAACAGAATGGTGGATCAATGGAATTGGATAGAAGACCCAGAAATAAACCCACACACTCATGGAGACCTGATTTTTGACAAAGAAGCCAAAAGCATACAATGGATAAAAGACAGCATCTTTAACAAATGGTGCTGGTCTAAGTAGATGTGTACATGTAGAAAAATGCAAATAGATCCATACTTATCACCCTGCACAAAACTAAAATCCAAGTGGATCAAAGACCTCAACATAAAACCAGACACACTAAACCTGTTCAAAGAAAAATAGAGAAGAGCCTTGAACTCATTGGCACAGGAGACAACTTCCTGAACAGAACAGGAACAGCACAGGCTCTAAGGGCAACAATCAATAAATGGGACCTCATGAAACTGAAAAACTTTCTGTAAAGCAAAAACCACTGTCATCAGAACAAAACAACTGGGAAAAAATCTTCACCAACCCTCCATCTGACAGAGGGCTAATATCCAGTACATGGAGAGTTTTAAATTTGAGGGAAAGGCTCACACTCTTATTCAGGCTCAGGTATCCCATTATCTGCTTTCTGGAATCTGAAGGCTCAAGAAATCTGGTGGTGTAGTTCCAGTATACCCCCAAGGGCCTTAGAATGTGATGTCCAAGGTCAGGGAAAGCAGATGTCTCAGAGTGGGTTTGCCCTCTCCACCCTACTTTTTATTTAAGTGCTCAGCAGATTAGATGTTGGCTATCCACACGGAAGAGAGATCTTTATTTAGTTCACATATCAAAAGGTTAATTTCTTTCAGAAACACATCCATAGGTACAGTCAGAAATAGTGCTTCACCGGCTGTTTAATACATTCATTATTCCAGTCAATCTGACGTACAGAATTAATCATCATAATGATACTTTAAGGGAGATTTGTGTGAACAATGTGAGAAAATTATTTTAGAAGGAGCATTTCAAGGAGAAAACAGCGTCATGCGAAGGGCTCAGGTGGATGTGTACAAGTGAGGGGGGGGCTGCCTTTGAAGTGTTTGCCCAGCTGGCCAGAGTGTTTGTGAAAGGAGATGAGAAAAATTTGCAACAAATTCTCAAGAATTATAAAAATATCATTAAAACACTGCTGTTAAGGTGGGTTGGCCTCATTTTGAAGGTGACTACAGGAATACAATGTTATTTGGAGAAGCAGCGTTAGTATGACATGAATTTGGACTATAGAACGTCTCAGGTTTCCTTCATGACTTGCTAGTTCTCTGATAGCAAATAATAGTTAGGAAGAGGCAAGAAGAACAGATGCTGTGTTCTTTGGAACAGGGTTCTCAACCTTCCTAATGCTGCCACCCTTTAATATGTTTCCTCATGTTGTGGTGACCCCACCAAACATTATTTTTATTCCTACGTCATAACTGTAATTTTGTTACTGTAATGATTCATGATGTAAATATTTGTCTTTTACAATGGTCTAGAGACTCTTGTGAAAGGGTCATTCAACCCCAAAGGGGGTCACAACCCGCAAGTTAAAAACCGCTGCTCCATGGTAACAACTTATAGACTAAATCTCTCTTTGTGTATCAAAGGGAATTTATAGAATGACTTACAGACTGACCCAACAATGGCTGGCTGTGAATGGAAGGTCCAAGAATGCAGTAGTTTCTCAGGCCACAGGGCTGAATGGCTCAGTTGTTCTTCAGTATACGCTGGAAGAAGTAGGCTCTAATGTCAGTGAAGGAGCAGTCTTGCAAGAAAGGTGAAGGAAAGCAGGCAAAGAACAAAACCTTCCTTCTTCCATGTCTTTATATAGGTTTCCAGCAGATTAGATCTAGATTAAAGGCATGTCTTCCTACCTAAACAAACAAACAAGCAAAAACCTGCTTGATTAGAAGTGGATCTTCCTACTTCAAATTAAGCAAAAATCTTTTCATTCTTTAATTCCATATGTAGTCAAGTTGACAACCAAGAATAGCCATCGCAGAGACCAAGAAGAGCAGACACGACAGAACAGGGCTTATGACTGAAATGGTAAAGGGCCAGGCAGAGCAGGTCAACATCTAACAGGTTTAGCAATGTATTCAGATGTTTAAAAACATCACACAGACTAAGGGAAGTATGTTTACAGAGCAGCGTCTTGCCCAGCCATGCCAGAGGAAGCACAGTCAGTTGAAAGGCTAGTGTTGGAAGACTTTTATAAAGCTTTGGGCAGAGAGCCAGGGAAAAATTAAAAAAGAAAATAAAATAAAAGTTATACTCTGAGACTCTGCTGGAGTTTTTCCCTTAGTATGACTCACAGAGATGCGAAAGGGGAGGGAAGAGTTGACCCTGCAGCTCAGACCCTAAGACCGTGTCATACTTCCCTGAACAAGAGTCATTGTTGTCATTTTATTTCTGAGTCAGGGTTTCACTGTGTAGCCCAGGCTGATTTAGATTTCATTATGTAACCGAGACTGGACTCAAATTCTCTGGGTCCTTCAGCATTTATCTCCCGAGTGTTAGGACTGTAGATATGTTCCCCCATCTCTACTTACTCACATGAATGTCTTTCTGCCTAATATCAGGATTATGTATGTATTTGTTCCCTCATTGTTTTAGCTTGCATAATTGTTTAGCAGTTAGAACATTAAAGTCCGATAGAGAAAGAAGGCATAAGCCCAAACATACTTCTTTAATTAATCTGTCTCTGTATTGTTGTTTTAATTATGAAGACTTGTGCAGAGGATTAAAATTAATTAACTGTACCAATTAAAAAGACACAACAAAGACATTTCCTCAACCATGTTCGTAGCAGCTATATTCATAATAGCCAAAATCTGGAAACAACCCAGATGTCCCTAAACTGTGGAATGGATTCAGAAATTATGGTACATTTACACAGTGGAATACCATTCAGCAACTAAAAACAAGGAAATCAGGAAATTTGCAGGTAAATGGTGGAATCTAGAAAAGATCATCCTGAGTGAGGTATACCAGAAGCAGAAAGACACACATGGTATATACTCACTTATAAGTGGATATTAGCCGTATAATATATGAAAAACATACTAAAATCTATACACCTAAAGAAACTTAGCAAGAAGGAAGACCCTGGGTAAGATAACTCTGTCCTCACTCAGAAAGGCAAACTGGACGGACATCGGAAGAGGGAGAAAACGGGGAACAGGACAGAAGTCTGCCATAGAGGACCTCTGAAACACTCTACCCAGCAGGGTGTTAAAGCAGATGCTAAGGCTCAGAGCCAAACTTTGGGCAGAGTGCAGAGAATCTTATGAAAGAAGGAGATGAAAGACCTGGAGAGGATAGGAACTCCACAAGTTGACCAACAGAACCAAGAAATCTGGGCCCAGAGGTCTTTTCTGAGACTGGTACTCCAACCAAGGACCCCTTGGAGATAATCTAGAACCCCTGCACAGATGTAGCCCATGGCAGCTCAGTGTCCAAGTGGGTTCCCTAGTAAGGGGAACATGTCTCTGACATGAACTCAGTGGCTGGCTCTTTGACCATCTCCCTCCTGAGTGGGGAGCAGCCTTACCAGTCCACAGAGGAAGACAATGCACCCAGTCCTGATGAGACCTGATAGGCTAGGGTCAGAGGGACAAGGAGGAGGACCTCTACTATCAGTGGACTTGGAGAATGGCCTGGGAGGAGATGAAGGTGGAAGGGTGGGATTGGGAGGGATAAAGGGAGGAGATTACAGCTGGGATACAAAGTGAATAAACTGTAATTAATATTAGAAAAAAGGACTGGTTTTCCAAGTGGATGTTTACTAAACTTTGACTCATTTGCATAGATATTTACACAGTAAAAAAAGAGACAGGCTAAATACTGTTATTTTTTTCATATATATATATATTTTTTTTTCTTTTCTTTTCTTGCCATAGGTGCCTTCATTTGCAAGATGGTGCCATTTGTTCAGTGCACGGCCATTGTGACAGAGATCCTTACTATGACCTGCATTGCTGTGGAAAGGCACCAGGGGCTTGTCTATCCTTTTAAAATGAAGCGGCAGTACACCAATCAAAGGGCTTTCACAATGCTAGGTATGTTTGCCATTTTGTATCACTGTGACAAAGCACCTGAATCTAAGAACTTAAATAAAAATGGATTCCTTTTTGCTGGTTGTTTCAGCCTGTGGTCTGTTGGCTCTCTTGTTTTTGGGCCCTTGAGGCACATCTTGTCATGGGGAACATGTGCCAGAGAAGGATGGCTTGCCTCATGTTAGACAGGAAGCAGAGGGACAGAAAGCAATGGTCTAGGGACAAGAATGCCTCTTAGAGTCAAATCCTTAGTAACCTATGCCTTCCACCCAGACCTGTGTCCTAGTGGACCATTCAACTCAAATTTATCAATGAATTAATATGCCTTTGAAGTTATAGCCCTCACTTCTCAAATCTGTCAGCTGACAAGCAAGCCCTCAACGCTGGGATCTTTAAAGGACATTTCAGATTCAAAGAGTAACACTAGGTAAGACCTCCAGGTACGCCAACTCTGTGCTAGTGCCATTTCTCAGCACAGGAAAAAAAAAATAAGCATATCTATACCTTTTGAAAGGTAGCTTCTCACGATGGGTAAGTATCAGGGTGTGATTGGAGAGGCCCAGTCTTTTCATTTTAATATATCCAACTGTTCTCTCTTTTCTCAATTTTGAAAATGTGTCATTTTGAGTATTCCTCATTTTAAACCCTAAGCTTGTAAGCATTGCATTCACCTAATCAATGATAATTATATCTAGGGCATTGCCACAGTAACGTTCGTCAGACCAGGAGGCTGCTCCTCCTCCTTGTAGCTTTTAAGCTTACAAGGGCAAGTGGTTTGTCAGAGAGCAAGGGAAGTGCTTTTTAAGAAACCTGAAAACCAAATTATTTTCCTGAGAAATGCCATGTATACAAATGTTCAGTAACTGTTACAGAAGGTCACAGGGTACTAGGAAGCTAAGTAGAGTCCTAATATGCCTGAAAAGAACAAAGTCTGTCCTCCTCATGATTTTTGAAGCTACTAGATACTCACCTTACTGTAACGGTCCCCAGTGAGTGTGTTGTAACAAACAGCAGGTTCAAGGAAGTATCCTAAAACCTAGCACAATAGAGTGGGAGAATTTACCATTCACCGATGATGAATGCATCGTCATTCAATTTGTAATAGCTAAATACCTAGAGGTAAAGTGAGCAGCTAATATGACAGTGAAAGAGAGAAACTTTACTAATGTTCACATGACAGGAATAAGCAGAGTTATTAGTTACATGAATGTATCCAGTATCTGAATGCAGAATTCTAGAAAGCACTACTGAAGTCTTTGCAGTCCCAAAGTTTTTTTTAAGCGTTTGGAAGTGAGCAGACAAATCGATAGAGAGAAGAATTCATTGATTACTGTGAAATTTACGTCATATTTTCTGTAAAAACAATTCAAATATCTGAGCTTCTAATAATTAACAACTTTCCAATATCCCACGCCAATATATAGGTGTGGAAAGAATTTAAAGGAGTCCATGGAGAAGGAAGATCATTAAAAAGCAAGAGAAGTAGGGTGAATCTCAATGTTGTAAGTGCAAAGACGGTAACAAGCAGTTAGAGCTGTTCCAACTGAAATAATTCAGAGATAACAGCAATGTTCGAAAACCAGGATGCCCTCATGTGGGCTGGTGTGCACTCTTCCCTGATAGCTTCCTGTCACTTTAACACCATGAACCATCCCTGTCTGTCACTGACCCTGTGCCTCCTGCCTGAAACTGCCTAGACACCAGGCTTATGCTGGGGACACAGGCTTTCTCATCCTAACAATGTAACAAAGTATATCTGTAGTGCTTTTCTAGCCCTAGGATTTCCTTTTCAGGAAGGTGAAGGTCCCAGTAGGGTTGACAATGAGCTTAATCCAATTAGACTCATTCTGCTATTAGACTCTGCAATCTGCTAAATTGGAAAAATGATTGGACATAAGATAATGTTATGCAAACAGAGTAGAACAAATAGGTTTATTGATGCGGACTCAGAGACACACAGAAAGATTTAAAAGCCCTTAGAAGCGATCACGGTAATAGTTATGGGTAATGTCAATTGTGTTTGTCCTTCTGGTAAGCCACAGTCGTGGCTTGAGTCTCAGTTCCTTGAAGCTACAAGTAATGCCATGTTTTCTAAATGATAACAAAACAAGTAAAGAAACAGCAATCAGAAATTTATCCCCCTCTTATTCTGCTAAGATTCATAGACAGAAATGGCCTTTAGTATAGCAGTTAATCTATTCTTTCTTTGCCAATGGTATATAATTAAAATAATTTAACAAACTCACAGAGGACATGACATTTGGAATGAATGCTGTATTTTTGTTTATTTGTGTTTGTTTTATTAATACCTGTTTTCTAAGTGAGTAAATGGTGCTATGTAATAGTGCTCAAGAGAAATATATTTTGAGGCTTCTGAGTAAGATGATGACAAAAAACCATGTTGCTTCTTTGTACACAAATAAAAAACTTTGTAAGAAAGAAATCAGAGGAAAATTCCCTATTCACACACTAGCTTCTAAAATGTATCTTGGAATAACCTTAACCAAGGAAGTGAAAGAACTCTAGAATGAAAACTTAAGAATGCTGAGGGAAGAAACTGCAGAAGACACTTGAAGTGGGAAGGCTCCCCCCAAGCTCATTCATTGACAGGGTTAACATTGTGCAGGTGGCTTATATTATCAAAACTGATCCCCAAATTAATACAATTTCCATCAAAATCCCAATGACACTTTCCAGAGAAACTAGGAAAAGCAATGTTAAAATTCACATCCACAAAGACACTGAACATAATAAAGTCAACCCTAAGAAAAACAAACACCCCACCAAGGACCATGTTTGGATATAACCTAGAACCTATGCTCGGATGTAGCCTGTGTTAGCTTAGTAACTAATTGGTTTTCCCTAGTGAGGGGAACAGGGACTTTTTCTGACATGAACTCAATGGCAGGCTCTTTGACCTCCCCACCCCCAAGGGAAGAGCAGTCCTACTAGGCCACAGAAGAGGACTTTGCAGCCAGTCCTGGAGATACCTGATAAAACAGGGTCAGATGAAAGGGGAGGTCAATGGACTTGGAAAAGGGTAGGGAGGAGATGAGGGAGAGAGGGTGGGGTTGGGAGGGAATGAGGGAGCGGGATATAGCTGGGATACAGAGTTAATAAAATATAACTAATAATAAATATATAAAAAAACAAACAAAAGCCAACAACAAAAAACAACCCCCTCCCAAAACTCCCCAAACCCAATGCTACAGGTAGCTCAATACCTGACCTCAAATTATGTTACAGAGACATGGTTGAAAAACAGCACAGTGCAGGCAGAAAAGCAGGCACATAAACCAGTGGAACAGGAGACTCAGATACAACTCACACAGCTATAGCCACATAATTAAAATTTTATTACATTGATTTATTTCATCACACTATTTATTTGTGTGTGTGTGCATGTGCGCACATGCATTTACACATGTACATACTTGTGTCTGCATCCCACAACAAAAGTGTGGAGATCGGAGAATCATTTGCAGGAGTCCATTCTCCTCTTCCACTGTATGGGTTCTGGGACTCAAGCTTAGGTCCTCAGGCTCGACAGCATCTTTACTGGCTAAATCATCTCACTGACCTCAGCCACATGTCAAAAAACATGTAGAGAGAAAAGATGTCCTCTTTAACAAATGGTGTTGGGAAAGGTGGTTTCTACGTGTTCAAGAATGAGGCTAGATATATATTTTTCACACTGCTCAGAAATCAATTAAAAATGGATTAAAGAAATAAGTGTAGATCCTGGAACTTTGAATTTGCTGGAGTTTAGTACAGAATATTCCCAAGAACTGACAAATGTGGGTACATAGAATAACAGTCACCAGAGTCTGTGGAGCAGCACACAAGATGGGAAAATCTCCGCTAAGTACACATCAAATAGGATTGATATCTAGAACATATAAAGAACTGCAAAATTAAAATGCTAGAAAAATTTAAATCAAACAGTGGGCTAAAGAACTCAACAGTTCCTACGAGAAACAACCCAAATGGCCAATAAATTCCTGAAAAAGCATTCACCCTCTAAGCTTAGCCATGAAGAAAATGAAACTTTGAATTGCCTGAGGTTCCATTGCACCACATTCAGAATGGCTGATCACAAAGAGAAAAAAAATGCAACAAACGCTGATGAGGACGTCAGTAATGAAACCCATCACTGCTGTGGGCTGTGAAACTGCAGCCACTAGGGAAGTCAGTCTGAAGCTTTCTTTAAAAAACTACAGCTGCCACATAAATAGAGCTCCTGTGAGCACCAGCTCTCAGCTATCTTCTCTATAACGTAGAGACTCCACGTCCACATCCCCCAGCATGCGTCCATAATTACTGCTTTCATTCATGATAAGTAGGAAATAGAAATATCCCAGATACCCATCACCATATGAAAGGAAAAAGAATATGTGGTGCATTTATAAGTGGAATTTTTTTAGTCATAGAAAGTTATGACATTTGCATGAAAATGAATGTAAGATGTAATGATTATGTTAAGATCTTTCATTGCTACTTTCCTGTCTCTTTTTTCTCTCTCTGTCTCTGTTTTTCTCTTTCCATCTGTGTGTGTGTTTCTGTCTTTCTGTCTCTCACATACACACGATTTTCTAGTTTCTAGTTTCTGCATATGAGATAAAACATGAGGAATACATCGTGCTGTGGGGTGTAACACTGCAGTCACTAGGGAAACCAGTCTGGCGCTTTCTCAAGAAAACAGAGTCAGCATGTGCTCCAGATACACCATTCAGCTGCATTCTGTTTACCTGAAGGACTCCGAGTCAACATCCCTCGTGAAAGCGGAAGGGTTCCTTTTACTAGGGGATACACCCCCCAATAGGAGGAAACAGCAGGACTAAGAACACTGGGAAGAGAAGTATAGTGTGTAACAACAAGTAGGCCTAATAATATAAGGCCACAGTGAAACCCATTTTCTCCAATGTTAACTTTAAAATTAATGGGAAATGCGTGTTTTGGGAGCTAGAGAGATTGCTCATCGTTTAAGAGAATGTTCTGCTCTTTGAGAGGACCTGATTTCCATTCCTCATTTTGGGTTGGGTGACTAACAATTGCCTCTAACAGTTGCCTGCGCCAAGGAATTGAATACCCTCTTCTACCTCCATAGGTACTTGCACACATGTGGTATTCACTCACACAGAAACATAAAAACAAATCTCTTAAAATGCTAAATATGTTAGATTTAAAGAAGAAACGATAGGAGGTGGTCTGTAATATGTTCAAGTTATTTATTTCAGGGCTGGAGATATGACTCAGTGCTTAAGAACACTGGCTGTTTTTTTTTCCAGAGGATTGTGGTTTGCTTCACAGCACCCATACATGATGACTCCTAACTGACACAGGCACACACACACATCCCCCCACTCATCCCCCACACCCCCCACCTTTAGGATGACCAAAGATAATTGCTCTACCCCATGGCAGAAAAGATGGGAGCACTGGAGACCAGGCATCTTGATAATTAGAGAATTAAGCATGCATATAGGTTGCTGAGCTTTGTTACATTTCTCTGTTGTATTTTTGCAGGTGTGGTGTGGCTGGTGGCCATCATCATAGGATCACCCATGTGGCATGTGCAGCGACTTGAGGTAGACTCAGGCCTGAAATACTTTCTCGTTCTTCCTAATATTTATTTTTTTCCTCCTTTGAGAAAATTGTGGTGAATTTCTATGACCTCATCTATTTCAGTGAAATCAGATGTTAAAAATTCTCTTCTTTGTTACCTAAGTCTATTAGATCCTGCACAGCTAAGAGTCAATGTTAAGTTTACAAAGAAATAAGTTCTAAAGTGACCTTCTCCACTTTTTTGGATTAATTGTTCTTCCTAGAATATCCTAGTCTTGTTAAATATTCTCATATGTTCAGTGACTGTTTTGACTTTTATTTTAAGTCACTTAAAATTGTAAGAGATTGTCTTCTGGATAGCTATTTTCCTGTTGTCCTAGCCATTGACAAACTGAAATGTGAATCAGAATCATGCCCAGCTCTTGAGTTTCTCCCTCTTTCTTCAATTCCCACAGCTTTCATGAGATTTTTCTGATATGTGTAGGGGTTTACTATAAAAGAGCAGCTTAGGATGGTAGCTCCTGACAGCTTAGCCTGTCTTCTGGGGTGTACGTGAGCATAGCTTGAAATGTAACACAAGCAAGAGTCTTCAAAGACAGGGGGGCATCCATCACACAGCCCATAATGTAATTATAAAGCAATGTATTTCTTTGTATTTTGTTAAGTAGAGATAGACAAATGTAAATCTTTCCTGAGCATGCCATATCCTTCAACTAGGATTCCAAATGAGACCTGAGATGAAAGTACATTGAAGAAAGTTGCCCAAGGGCAAGGGTGCTATCCCAGTGCCCAGCAAGTGCACTCCCTAATACTTAAAACTCAAGAATAAATAAAATAAAAGTGTGTGTGTGTGGGTGACTGATATGTTGAGGGAGCTGGCCTGTGAGAGCAGAAAGTGGCTTTACTCTGTTGCCACCTATGAAAATGTCACCTGAGAACTTCAAAATGAAATATGGATGAAACTTTGATCAGGCCCTGCAATATCTCAAGTCATATAGATAATTAAATTCTTGAGGCTCATGTCAGTCAAAAGATCAGTATCCATTCTGCTAGAAGATGCCCAGGCTAGTGCCACGTCACCTACAACCACAACAATGGTCACTTGAAGACTTGATGTTCGCTCTGGCAGCACATACATTAAAATGGAATAGTTTAAAATCTTGTCCCTGCTCTAGCTTGAATTGTTCACAGGCTCCTGGGCCTGTCTCCTCCTCCCGTACTTTGCCACCTCTTGCAGGGAGCAGCAAAGAGAGGAGAGATGTCTTGGTACTGGCATGGGTGTGGCCCATGGCTAACTCTTTCTCTCTGGGATTCCTGATAACACCTTTGAGGTTTGGGATGGGCCTCCATTCTCCAGCCCATTACTCATTTCAACAGCTGCCGTGGCTGCTTCCTTCTGTTTGCACCTCCCATACTGCCAGCAGCGTGTTTTATAAATGACAAAATCTAATTTTCAGTCCTGAACCTCTTTCCCTGCCCATATTGATAAGACAGATTTATCATTTTCGTAAAATGTTTTATCGTGTATACTACATGTATAAATCATTTAATTTGTAGAAAATGTGTCTGCCTGATCTAATAGGCAAAGCCATGCTCATTGCTAAACAGCAGTCAAATCCGATTTGCTTCTTGTCAGGAAAAAGTCAGATTTCAGTTTTGAAATAAATATATTAATGTGCATCCCAGAACCATGCTCATTCTGAAACTCTATTAGAGAGAACTCAATTGAGTGTGGGAGCCTGAGCCTGTTCTTGGATGACAGGCAGCATCAAAGCCAGCCATTCATGATGATGCTGTCTTGCTCTGTTTTATCTGGGCTCTTGCAGGAGTGAGCTGACTCACAATCTTCAGGGATGTAAATGAGAGGATTCAATTAAAATTGTTCTTATTTTTTCCCCTCAGTGGATACAAATGTGAATTCACAGCATTTCAGGCCTCATCAAAATGCCACATTTCCCTAAATCTGGTTTTCTTGAATGGAAGTTTACTCAGGACAGAGAAAAGTGGAAGTCTTGCCCAGTGGATTTATGTTGCCTGGGTCAGAATGGTTTTGGTGACATGAGTCATTTGAATTGCACTCAGCAGCAAGGCTTAGCTTGGATGAGGGATATGGCTGTCTGAGTTGGAGCAGGTGCTGACAGAAGTGGGACTATAGATGGAGCTCAACCCAGGCCACAGTTGTAAACAGTGGAAGACTGCAGGAATGTTTACTTAGAAATAAACCCAAGTTAGGGGTACAAGTCATTGATAGTGCATTTGTCTACATCTGTGCAAGGCTGGAAGTTTGATCCCTATGGCCATAAAAAAATGGCAAAGAGAATCTGAAACTAGTTGCCAAGAATCCATCTTAAGATGTGTTTGCAGGGCCTTTGCCGGGCTCTGGCACAGTATGAAGCCATCTGGAGAGTCAGTTTATCACTGAGCTTTAGGATCTGTCAGTGCATGGCCACTGTGGTCACTGACCCTTGTGGGCTCTGCCTACATGGAGTCAGAAATGATTTCATTCCCACATCTGTTTTATTAAGCTTATTGGTCATTATCATTCCTAGTTGTGCACATCAATAAAACATGGACCACGACTGAAATTGTCTTAACTTTTGAACTGATGTTAAAGATGGGTGATTAAATTTGCTAGGACTATAAGCAGAAACGTACCATTTGGAACTCTGCAGTGACTGAGCTTCAATAAGTCCTCTCCTTATTGTTACCATAGATCTTAAATGTTTACTTTGCCTCTGAAAGGAGACTTTTAGCATTTGATGCTATCTGTCACTGTTGCGATCAGTGAATTTGGAACTCGGAAGGTGAGTTACTCAGAATAGTAACTTATTAAACGAATGCAATCAAAATGCCTGTAGATTTGCAATAGTTTAAAATGCAGCATCTCATTCACTTCAGTATTTAAAAGCTACCAGCTGCCTTTCCATGATCTTTACAATCTGGTGGTTCTGACATGAGTTTGCAGTACAAATGTGGCTAGGTTTCCCTTACTTTGAAGAAGATTGATCCTTGCCAAATCTATTTCATCAGAAATTGAGGAGGCAAATGCATCAGCTGAATTAATATTAAACCACCTAGCAAATGATGTACAATGCCTTTCTGTGTGTACTCTCAGCCAACTGAAAGTCATGGCCATTGGAAATAAATGTTGAGAAAGATAAAAAGTGAACGTATCTGATGTAGTCCTGCATTCATTTAAAATCATAAAGCACAAAAATCAAAGCCTTAATGGTTCAGGGAAAACCTACAATTTACCACAAAATAGCTCTAAAGGCAGTTTCAAGTTTGAAAATTTATCAGCAGCTGTGTGAGAGGTCTTAAAGATGGAATGCCCTTTGGGTGCTGATTTCTGGAGTTTGTAACTGGATTGTTCTTACTTTAAAGATTAAGTATGACTTCCTATATGAAAAAGAACACATCTGCTGCTTGGAAGAGTGGAGCAGCCCCATGCATCAGAAAATCTACACCACCTTCATCCTTGTCAGCCTCTTCCTGCTGCCTCTCTTGCTGCTGCTTGTCCTCTATGGTAAAATCGGTTATGAGCTCTGGATCAAGAAAAGAGTAGGAGATGGCTCAGTGCTCCGAACTATTCATGGAAAAGAAATGTTCAAAATAGCCAGGTCTGTTCATTAAAGTATTTGCCAAGTGTTCAAAATATGTTTTATTAGTTGTGCTGGAAGAGACAGCTGCCCACGCATCATTTCTAAATCAGTTTGAGAGCATGGGCTTGAAACCATGACGCTGTGGGCTGGTGTCAGGACTCTCTGGCTTCCTCCTCCCTCACTGCCAGCAGCATTAGGAATATGCAGGACACTTTGCCTCAGAGGAGCCCAAGTTTCCCCCATGAGCAAGGCCACCCATCTGCACGGGCCCTTAGTCCCTACCGTTTGAGAATGCTCTTAAAATACTGGGATGGCATGAAAATCCTACGGAACCCCAGAAAGCTACATGTTTTCAGTGGTTATAAATATAAACAGAGGCAGTGCTCATTTTATTTATTCCTGTCAACTTCAACACACACTTTCCTGCTGCATTTGGAGCTCCTGTGACATAATTTATGTCGAATAACTGTTAAAACAAATAAGCAGCATCTTGCCTAGATTAATGAGTTAATGGGATTTTATTAATTCTTCAAGTGTGCAGTGACCTCTAGTGCCCAGTTTGTATAAAGAAAACTTTCCTCAGCAGAGACCACTTTCCAGAAAAAGGGTTACCAGGCCTGAAATAACAACCAATGAGTCTGTAAGTTTGAACTGAAAGCCCCAAGCAAGTGTGTAGGTCTGAGCAGATGTAAATTTAGTTTTTGAGGAATGAATAAAATCAACTAGAATCCCTGGCTGACTGTATTAAAGTTTTAATTCTATCCTTAAGGCTCACCATATTTTATAGATACTGATATTTAGCTATTAAAGGTCTGGACTGCTTTAAACACATGCTGAGTGAATGAAATCTGTGTCACTGAAGAGACACTCCTAAACCCAGAGGGCATCATTTACTAGCCACCCTACTGTGAATTCAGCTTCTCTCGCCTCCAGTTTCTGCCTCTGTCCACCAGCTTGTTGAGAACATGAAAGACATACTTTATATCTGTAGTTTAGTGGAGTTCCAGACCCAGACTGAGCACTTATCACTGGAATGTGTAAGGGGTGGGGGCTGTAAAGACAAGGGAAAGCTGCTGTCTGCCCACAAACGGCTTCAGGAACTCCACCCTCACCTGAAAAGGGTGAAGTAGGCTCACACTGTAAAGCATTTGTTATCGACCTAACCCATCTGCCGAGGCAAAGTTAACCAATGCAATGCTTTCTTGCAGGAAGAAGAAACGAGCTGTGATCATGATGGTGACAGTGGTGGCTCTCTTTGCTGTGTGCTGGGCACCTTTCCACATCGTTCACATGATGATTGAATACAGTGAGTGCCTCTCTCTCTCAACCAGTTCATTTTCTATGATAAGACACATGAAATCATCGCTTTCTCACTGGTTGCTTGGAGAGTCAAATATCAGATACTTAACACTGCTTTTGCATGTTAAAGAACACCATGGTGTGGTAGGTGACTGCACAACTAGGACTAGTCACCTATAATTGCAAAAGCTATAAAAAGCTCTGCAGGTTTCTCCTACATCGCCCCTCCTCTCCCTAAGCTGTCTAGCATGGGGAGACGCCTTGAGAGTCTTCTCTGTTTGGAAGCTTGGCTTGCCCTTGGTGAGTTTAATGTACCTAGGATTCCAGTCAGATGCCCAGAAACAGTTACCCTTCATGTGTTCTCTGGGACTCAACACGATTGTTTCTGGAAGGCAAGAGAGCATTTGAAGGATAACTGTGCCTCTAGGGTATATGAACCTTGGTGTCACTGAGATGAAAGTTTTTGAGCCCTACAGTATATACCATGCACCAGCCAATGTGTGGGCAAATGAACACATATTACAAAGGTGCTTGTATTCAGACACCAGATGCAGTGTTCTAAGTAGACATGAGAATGTTTCATATCTCTACCCACTTGCATAAGTGAAAATCTTTGTAAATACACATGATAGAATTTTACAGTTATTTCTTGATAAAGTCAGTAAGCATTCTAAAGTATTACTTTATTTCAGGTAATTTTGAAAAAGAATATGATGAAGTCACAATCAAGATGATTTTTGCTATAGTGCAAATAATTGGATTTTTCAATTCCATCTGTAATCCCATTGTTTATGCACTCATGAATGAGAACTTCAAAAAAAATTTTGTGTCTGCGGTTTGCTATTGCACAGTAAAAGAAACGCTTTCTCCAGCACGGAGGCATGGGAGTTCAGGGGCTATGGTGCTGCAGAGGAGAGCAAAGTTAGCTGGGGGAGAGAATCCTGGAGAGATCAAAGGAGAAGCATTTGGGGACAGCTGTGTCGATGTGAAGTGGTGTGAACAGCCAGAGAAGAGGAAGAAAAAATCTCAAGTGGCGTCTTTCCCTCTTTAGCTATGGATTTCTGAGAACTCTGCCATAGATGTGGACATTAACTGTAACAGTGTCTTCAAAATCAGCACCTGTCATACTGTAATCAAAAGAAAATTATTTTGTGAAAAAGTCAGACAGCATTCATATTAAAAATGTTGACAAGCGCTTGAAAGGCGGAGGCAGGGGAATCGGGAGTTTAAGGTCATCCTCAACTGCATAATGAGTTTGAGGACAACCTGGGCTACAAGAGACTTTGTCTCAAGAAGCCGAAATGATTACAACAACCATACCAACTAGTGATAATGAGAATATTTTTCATTGAAGATACATATGAAATACAATTTTGGAAAGTTATTGAACCACCCTTATGGTTGGTTACTAGGTGGAGTGTTGCTTTGTTTTTTTATTTCATGTGTGTAGGTGGTTGACCTGTTTGTGTGTCTGTTTATCACATGCATGCCTGGCTGCCCACAGAGGCCAGCACAAGGCATCCAGTCCCCTGGAACTGGAGTTATAGATGGTTGTGAACTGCTACATGGATACTGGGAATCAAACCCACGTCCTCTGGAAGAGCAGCCCTCACCCCTGCCCTAATGTGGAGTTTTAAATATCTTGCATAAAAATCAGAGTTTTTCGATAGCAATTTTCATCTGTGTGGTTAATGTGATACGATTTTCTACACATTGTTAAATTGGATGAAACCATTAACAATGTGCCTTCTTCCTAGAATAGTAACTTAATGGTTGTGCATCACACATGGCTGTTGAAGTTCTGCCCCTTTCCTTTGCAAAGGAAGCCTGTACCAAAGTCAGTAAGTCCAGAAGATGGAGAAACAGCCAAGCATAAGCATAGGTCAACAGTACGTGGACTGGAGCTTCTTGTAGCCCGAGTGACCATTTCTGTGGTGACAGCTCTCTTGCCTCTTTTTTTTAGTCTCTGTTCCCATGCAAACTGAAGTTGATAGCTGCACTACTTCATGAAGCCACCATGGAAACGAAATGAGATGCAATTAGAAAAACATTTGCAGTCTAAAGCAGTCTTGCATTTTGAAGAATTGTCCTGCTTGTGTCTCCACCCTCCCTCTCCTCTTCCTGCTCTGAGTCTTGTCTTGACTCTGTGTAACTTTTTTCCTCATACATATATCTGGTTTCTCTACTCAGTAGTCTGAGGGACTCCATGTATTGACAGGGTCAATATCTAATATTGTATGTGTAGAACAAATGGTTTAAAAATCGGAGATAAACTCCAGCGGGATGAATGTGTAATATCTAAGTGTAATATGTTGATGAGGGTATGACTGGACTTTCCCTGTGAAATTTTGCTGTTCCAAGGCTGCCCCAAGATGTGGGTGAAAATGCTGAATAGATTTGTCTGCCCAGATTTCTTCCTTCAAACCTATTTGGTCATCTAACTGCCACATGTCTCAAGCGTCAGAACGCAGGGTGATTTCCCCTCCAGCCTCTAGTAGTCAAAGCTTAGTCGTAGCCGCATAGCTTAAACGTTTCTTCTGCCTCCAGTTTCCAGCCTTGACTTTTCTCAGCTGAAAACAAAATGCCAAGAACATTCAGGCTGCTTTGTGGTTTAAGCTTTAAGTCTGGGAAGAAACCCACTCAGGCTCCTGGCTGTTTAGTACACACTGTGTGTATCAGTGAAGCATGCGCAAAAAAGACTAAGGCGAAATAACGTGTGGTATTAGGGGAAGAAAAATGCCAATATGACAGAAAAATTAGCAAATCAAAGAAAGGGTGCTGTTAATGTTTTTGGGAAAGGATTGTTTGGATTTTGTTGTTAACTGTTTGCCTGTCATGCCTCAAAGTCCTGTTGCAAAGCAGTGGTTCATTAAACACCAAACATTAAAATGAATCTGAATCACTGACTTCGGTTACCTTGATTTGTTGGCCACATCTGCATAACTTCTTCTACTCCAAACATGATAGCAAAAAACATGTAACTCAGCAGTTATTACCCTCTCAATTTGAACATTAAAAAATTCCCAAGTATTGCAGAGCTGAGCCTAAACTGTTTAGAGTGAATATTTACAATTGTGGCTGTCCTAGGAAAGTGCCAAGTGTGTTTCCAGATGTTCATTGGCTAGGTATCTGTAGTTCTTCCTTCAACAAACATCTATTCTATTTTGATTTATTGTTTGGATTATTGGGGATATTTAATATGGGCAGATCATTATAGATTCAGGATATTAATATCATTTTATCAAAATGGTGGAAATTAATAGATGTTATGCCCTTGCCACTCCAACAAATATTCCTTTAAATTTCACTGATGTGGAAATTTCTTAATTTACATGTTTAATTTAAATGTCTATTAAAATATAGCAGTTATTTTGTCCTAGTAGCATAATAAAAAAATAGGTACCTCTTTGAGTGGAGATTTTAAAAAGTAAAGCATAAAATTTCTTTTGGCTAAAACACTGGGAATTGAACAAAAATGCTTGCCCTGAAATTGAAATCTGTGTTATGAAACAGAGAGAAAAGGATTCAGATAAAATTCACAAGTTAAAGAAAACAATTTGGGTCTTGAAAGACTTGGCTGTTTTGGAATGGGGGGTGTTGGAGATGATGAGCAATGGGCATCACAAATAAGAAAGAAGATGAGTAGAGTTGACCATGAACCAGAAGGCAAATAGGCCTGAGATAAACATGGATGTTTTTAAAGCACTAAACATCCTTAGTCAGAAGCTGGTTCGTGGGATATTAAGTTTTCTGTGCTCTGAAACTTTTGATAGTGTGGGGAGATTTCTGCCTTCTGCTGGTTACATACTATGCTGGTTCAAACATTTTTCTGAAATAGTTTCTCCTGTTCTATTTTCCAGTGGCGAAATCCACACAATACAAACTTTCTGTTATTCTAGCGTATAAAACTGAACACCCTTACCCTTGAACGACATCTTCTCACATTCCCTTCTCCTGCACCAGCAACCAGACTCTCAATCCCTTCATATGCTCATTTCCTTCTGAGTCCTGTCATTTCCGCAGGGAGACGGGACCCTAAGGCCGTGTTTAAAGAGATAGGCTTACAAGTAATACGATTTGAGATTAATTCCTCTCTGGTTGCTTTTCATGTCCCACTGTAAGAGTACTGGCGACACAGCTGTCAGAATTGTCTGGGAAGAGTCTGACAGCAGTAGATTATGAGGCGTTTACATGGTGCCTGGTTTATTCTTAGTTTTGGAATTTCTGACAATTTTTTAATTGCACATATTTCTGACGTTTCCTCTGAGTATTTAGTGTACAGAGTTAGTTTGAGAACTTTTGACAAGCATATTGCCAAACTAGTTGATTCCCTTTTGGATCTTCTCATGGTTTTTTGTCTCTCCACTTCCCTTAGTTGAACTCTCTTTCTGCATGCTGTCTAGTTTTCTCCTAGAACCAGACAGCAATCTGACACCCGTGTCATTTCTCATCTGGTTATGGGGAGTGCTTTTCCTCAGCAGACTGTGTTCCTCCTTGGTTTTCAGAATGCTTCTACCCATTACCGAAGACCAGCGTGGTACATCAAGACATAGGAAGTGAGCTGACAGTCTTGGCCACGTGGTGTCATGTTAAATTAGCCAGAGTTTGGGCTCTGCTTGGTGCTTCTGCAATTGTAGATTCAGTGGATGGAAGGTGCCACAGTGTCCTTGTTTCCCACCACCGGTTGCCTTTGAAAGAGTCAAAGCCTTCAGCCTTTGTGTGGGAGGTGCTGAGAAGGATGTGAGTTTTGTGAGTTTATGGTTGTATGTCAACCTTTCGGTGTGTTTGTGTTGTGGGCTGAGATGTGTCATGGAGCTGGTCCATGACCTACTTCCTAAGTGCAGTAAGGTTCTGGTGATGGATTTTCCTGTGGGGAGCTGAACTTCTTAGAAAGCATTCTGTTATGCATATTTCAAAATGGTAGTTTTTTTTCTTTCTCCTACAAGTAGCTTTTTGTCTCTTCATTGTGAAGCATTGGGGCTTCTTGGAGGTAAAACCCATATTCTGTCTCTCCCTCAGCACTGCAGAAGCCAGTAATTTTCATTCATTTTAGTGACATGGGGACATTAACTTGTGCACATTTAATGAAAGGTAATCCTAGGAGTGGTGTCACAGCGTGTTCACGGGGCCGCCCACTCTCCAAGGGGAGGGAAGTGCACAAAGCAAAGCTTACTAAGACTGATGCTCAAGTTCCATCTCTGCGACATGATGTTTCAGCAAGCTGAGTTTGTGGGGACTCAGAATCAGGCTGTGTTTACAGTGAACACTGCTGCTTTCTCCGCGTGATCGCCGAAAACCTATAAAGGTTTTCTTGTAAAAAATAAATTAACCCTTCTGAACTTCAGTTTCTTCCTTAATAGCATCATTCAACATTTTTGTTGCAGGGGTTTATATCATGTTTATTAAAATCTATTTGTGTGGTGCTTGCAAATTATTCCTCTCTCTGAATTACAAGAACAGTTTTGGTACTGAGTGACTTTGATTTTCTATGTGTCAGGATGACTTTAAGTCATGATAGCAGGAGAGAAAATTACGCATTCTTTAAAGCATAAAAGAGAGGATGCATTAACACTGTAATTGAAAAGGCACATTCATGTGTGTTCAAGGTTTTCCTTTTTCCTTTTCTAATTTTTGTGATGGGGAAGGGCACACATGTGGACAATTAGGGACTCGGCTCTCTCTTTCCACCATGTGGGGTCCATGGGGTCACACTCAGGACTTCAGGTTCCTCAGCAAGGGCTGTAGTTGTTGAGCCATCTCATTGGCCTGCAACCGTGAAACAAATGAACTCAACTGCATTTTCCCCCTAACAAGGTAAATGTTTTCATTCAGGTCACAAATATATTTGATATTTGTTCCATTATTTGAACAAAGTAATTTTTCCAACTGATAGAAAGGGATGTTTTTATAGAAACATTATTTGAAATAATGATCTGGAATTGATAGCAATATTTTAATATAAATTGCAAGTGCGTAATGTGTGGAATGAGATCGGTTCACAAGCCCATAAAAGAGACTGTGTTGTTACCATCACAGTGGGAAGCACGGACATGAACCTGAGAGCCCTAACATTGTCTTCTGATTCTTTTTAAAGGGGCCTTATACTGTATCTCTCTGCAAGAGAAGAGCAACTTTTATGAGTTAGTATAATGCCTGGAAGAA